TAAAAACACTATGTCATATTCAGGTTATTCACAAGTAGGGATGCACGATAATTATCGGCCCGATAATTATCGGTCCGATATTAGGAATTATGATGTCATCCCGATAAACCCGATACCAGTATTAATAGCCCCGATAATATACAATATATTTTTTGGGTAAAAAAAAAGAAAAAAATACTGCGGTGTGGGTGGATTGGAATGAGGGGCGCTTGTTTTTCACTCGGCTCCTCCCTTTTTGCCAGTACTGTGGTATTAGTGGTTTAGGAAGAGGGGAGTTCTTCACAAATCCAGCGCTCCCTAACTCATGCCTGGCTGTGACGTAAATGGTGTGCGGCCGTGAAGCCAGGACAGTAAACAAACATGTCGTCGGTGGTATGGGCGTTGGAGCTATGTGCAACTCAAGGCATATGCTCGAATCGGAGCTGCCTGGACGCTGCAATCATGTTGCGCACTATCCGTGCTGAGTGTGCTGACTTTTCGTACAATGTCCCACTGTCTGGCTTCCTGCATAAAGTCAAGTGCTCGGCGCAGTTGTGGCGAAATGTCGCTCCTCTGTTTTCATTTAAACAGCTCCTTATCAGTTAGCGCAGCTAGCTAGCACCAGATGCTAAAAACAACAATGCACGTAAAGGTCTCTCGCTCGCTCGGGCCACACATACACACACCCTCCCGGTCCTCCAGATGGCCAGTCGGTGCCTTTATATATACAGTCTATGGTCGGTGCCTGCCGGTGAGCGTGGAAGTGTGGTGTGCCACAAGCGGGAGGCAGGAGCGGGGCTGTCAGCATCAGCTTGTAGATGGTATTTTAAACTCGATGCGCTCTGAAAACTACGGGGCGGCCGAGGAAAAAAAAATACACATGCGTTAATCGCGTTAAAATAATTAGTGGCGTACATTTTTTTTTATTATCGGTTATCGGTATCGGTATCGGTCTTGAGAAGCAGGAAGTTATCGGTATCGGTTTCAAAAAACCAATATCGTGCATCCCTACATACAAGTATATGAACTGTCAATTTGACTAGTTCACAGTTTGAAGAATGATATGTGCATTTAATATGTTCATACAAATGTAAGTACATTATTTTTTTATTTTTCTTGGGATCAACTTTACCAGGGTCTAGTCTGTGAAAACAGTGACATGTTTTAGGAACCATCTGCTCTTGATATAAAAGCAGGAACCAATGTTTATTTCGCAGGAAGGGTAAGCAAACATTGGTTCCTGTCTTTATATCATGAGCACGAATGGTGTTTTTAATAGATGCTGAAATGAAACCCTGGTGGACAGATTGGAGTTGCTTTCCACTTCACATGAACAGAGATGACAATGTTGACCGTGCCACAGAGGAAGTGTGAGTGTTGTATCTTCAGAAAACACGTTGTACGAGTCATCTCACTGCAGAAAGTGGAGACACGTCACAGAGCAATAATACATGAGTATTCACTAAAAGAGTGAACTGTGCACAATGCAACACTATAGTGCAATACAACAGGCTAAAAACTGTTGGGGAAGATTTCTTAATTTTTAAATCAAAAAGTCCAAAAGAAAGTCATTTTAAAGTTAAACTTTAAAAGGGCCAACATGTTCTAATACTGGTCTCTGCGCTTGTCTCCCAGCCTTGCAGCTTTGTTATGAATGAGAGCACTGTCCCTGGTTATGGGAACATGGATCACTGTAAGAGTTCTACAAAGTCATTCATCCTCTGTTCTCTGTTTCTCTGGATCGACTTCACATTGTAAATAAAACAATGCTTCAATGTTATGTATGATAATACTAAAAGTGTTTATTTATTGAGCCACATAAATATATATATATATTAAAACAATATATTTACTTACACCAACAGTGAAATCCACAAATACAGACATTGACAATAAGTGAATGAGACAGGAACAAAAATCATCAGGTGAGAAGAACAGATTACAATAACTGACATAAATAATAAATAATAAATTAATACAATAAAAATATGAATCAATTGAAATGAATGAATGCACAAAAGGACAAACATAAAGACATTCGTCAATACAACCATTCCCAAGCAGCTATTCACTTTGGCTTTCAAGAACATTGAGCCACATATTAACCAAACGCCTTTCTCCTTTCTCCTGCAGCTGACACACGTGTTACTTATAGATAAGTAGATTTGCTTATAATTAATCAGCAAGATCAATTAACTCATGTCGGACAACTATTATGTTTACCTTTGGAAACCAGAAACCCAGCTGCAACGGCCTGATGCATGATGGGAAGAAGTAAGAAACAGAATGGCTTAAAAGATGAAGTGCTACCAAAAGGACACACATCAAGCGTGTCCTACTGGTTACAACACAACACTTGGGAAACATTAAACGTGTTTTTTAAAAACCTTGTAAGTGTTCCTCATGAAATGAAAGAGATTTCCGTCATGCAAGCGTAAAGAATGTTTAAACTTTGGACCAAATGTCCAATTCCTCCCCGACAGCCTCAGTCACGCAGCTTCTAATGTGGAGAGTGTGAACACAGCAGGAAGGACACACTCTGTCTATCGTCCAGAAACATGAACTACTAATTTAGTGACCATAAGTATGATACCAGCTTCCTCTATTTGGTTAACCTCTTTTCAAATCCCCCACTTGACCCTGTTGCTGCTGTATATCCTGTAAACATAGAAAGTGTTAGTATTGATAATAAACGATGGTCAACCGGTTCGAGTTGCTTGCCGCTTCAGTTACACCGAAGAAAGATAAGGGAGGATGGGCAAGTGACTGCAGGCTTTAAACATATGGTACAGTGTTTATATTGGAGTAGGGCCAGAGTTTTTAAAACTCGAGATGCTTGATGGATTGGAATTACAATAAATTGTCCCTCGGTTCAAACATATATTTTCTAATTGGCCTCACCTGAAGTCTTTCAACAGGTGTGTAGAGAGGCAGAAATAAGAGAGGGCAATCAGGCAGATTAAATAATGTCACTGATTTATTTATAAAGACAAAGACATGAAGCTACATTTCTGTAGCAAATGCTGTGTGTAGAACATATTTCACACAAGGAAACATATCACCTTGTATTCTGAATCCCCCTAATCCTTGTCTCATCTCTTAAGACTTGTTTTTTGTACTCAGTTCCTTGTATGTCACTCGGGTTGTTGTCTTGGCACTTCCTTGACTGTGAAACATTTTTTATTTGGACCGGTTAGTATCAGTTGAAGTAATTAAATCTATATTTCCTTGTATGTTGAAGTGTCTGAAACCAGAACCTCCCAGACACCGACAGATACTCAGTAATATCAGCGGTTTCAACAGTGAAACGTGTCCTGATGATCGACCGGTAGGTTTCACTCTGACCTCTGCGTTGACTGTTAAAAGAATGGTTCGCTGTTTGTAAGGTAACACATAGTGAACTAGGGGTGGTCCATTTCCAAATATTAAAGCTTTGATTGTGCTACAGTCATAATAAATTAGATCAGACAGATGTTTAATAAAAAGCTTGTAAATCACTTTTAAAAGCGTTTATTTCCACAACAAACTTGAGATAAGAAGATCCTTCACGGTGTTTGTGAAAGGAAACAGAATACATCTTTATCAGCTCAGAAAGTGGAACCGTGGATTTACTAAATCAAGTTGAGTGCTTTAATAGTGTTCATCTGAGTTATCTCATTAATAAATGTATCTGTTGACTTTGAAACCGTAGCCTTTCATTCTTGGACATAGCAGTTTATCAAACTGATATATAAACGAGGGTCTTACAGTCCACTAGTCAGACAGAGAACAGCAGGTTTTTAATAAGGGACTCCAGCAGACAGACAGCTCTGAGGCCAATGAGATAGAAACATGACATGTAACAGTCACGTCAGTAAATGAGACTCCATCCCCCATGTAACATCTGTAAAGTGTTCTATCTATTTATTTATTTCAGTCACTGTGAGTTTCATCATTTGGCTGTAAGGTTATTGATCCTTCTTCTTCTTCTTTAACTATACGTGTTGAACGTTATTTAAGACACTGGTTTACAGGGTTTCTGAGGACTTTCTCTCCTGAACCGTCTCCTCCTGTTGAACCTCTTATGGAGAACAGGCACCACATTAAACCAAGAGAAGAGAACGAGTTGGAAAGATGTTGAAACCTTGTTCAAGACAGACTTACTTATAGATAAGTAGATTTGCTTATAATTAATCAGCGAGATATAACTCCTGTAGAACAACTACTAAAGGAAAGTTTGGGGCTCTCTGCTGGAACTCCTACCTTGGCTTGGCTCTGCTCACCCTGATGGACTGCTTGGACGCTTGTTCAAGGATACACAAAGCCTTTCCAGTCTGATTATGTCTTACCAAGTCTTTAATTTATGTCTGAGAAAAGCTTTCATGTTTAAATATGTGTGTCATAAACAGTCATTACTTTGAGTCCTAATTTTCTTCATGTGTGAATAAAATGTTTTGCTTGGCTCTTTTGCATCTCACTTTGCATTTCATGTGAAAAATGTGTATTAGGTCAGCGTGAATGTTATAACTCATTCATAAATGCACATGTCTATGAAACAACGCACCCTTTCAGTAGTTATACATGTTAGTAACTCATTCATCAATGGTCATAAGGGATGCCAAGAAACATCAAGATGGAAGGGGGAGAATCAACTCAGTGAGCAACAGATACCAAGGATGCTGGCTGATGAAGAAGACGAAGTAAGCTAAGTAGCCAATATAACACTTAGTAGTACAGATAAATGTGTGCTCACTATTTGGCAAGCAACCGGTCACAGTTGCCCTGTTTATCTCATGTCTTATAAAAGCTTATTAATGATTTGTGTGTTCACAACCTAATTAATAAATGAATTACAAACTATTCATAAACCCTTTATAAGGGTAGTCTAATTGTAAAGTGGTACCAAATATTCTGTAAAGGAAGTAAAGGACAACAAAAACACTTCCATGGAAAACCCCAGATGACACAGATATTTCTGTAGCCACACCTCCAGAGATATTTTATATATATATATATATGATGTACCTTCCTTCACACTATCCGAGTTATCTCAGTTGTGGCAGATTTCATGAAGCTCTGATCCAAGATGGTAAGTTGTTTTTTTTGAAAACTTTATAAGGATTATTTCTGAATTTGTTCATCTCTGGATTATTTTCTCATTTAATGGATTACTTTTAAAATGTTGAAAATTGGAGATGAGAAATGTGAATCACAGTTTACCCAAAGTCTGAAATGTCTTTTTTTTAATATAATTTTCAGTTTGTACTCACATGTATAGTTCAGCAAAATCTAAGTGTTGTAATGTAGGTAAAATAAAGTGAAGGTTTAATTAATTTTATTAAATGTTTTTTTCAAAAGGTTTTATTCAAATAATCGTAATATCTCAAATAAAGTAAAATTATCAAAGAAAAACTAAAATCCAGACAAAATCCAACGTTTTCCATGTTTTATGCGATTTTACAAAAGTAAAAATAAATAAATGAAACAATTATAGTTCTGCAAAATATAAATGCTGTAATTTCTATCTCAATTATAAATTATATGAAATCTACGGCAAGTTAGAGAGAATTTTGTTACATTTCTTGTAAATCTGAATATGCAAAATAACTTGAATTATCAAGACGATGCTGCTCCCGTGTTGATGCGAAACGGGTGATTCTGCAAACTTTTACTGAAAATACTTTAAGTTACTTTAGCTGACAATGCTTCTGCACTTCTTCTCAAGTAAAGTTCCTAAAACAGGACTTTTAGGGAGTATTTTATTTGTATTACTGCTTCATGATGATGTGAAATGTGAAAATCTAATCTTTTTTTAAGTTTATTTTTCTTTTTATTTATGCATATTTAAAAAATAAAAAATAAAATAAACATATTTGTAAAGTGGGGGGAAACAAACGGGATTTCGAAAAGTGGGGGGGACATGTCTCCCCTGTTCCCAGTGGAAATTAAGCCATGCGTGTGTGTGCGTCAAGTGCAATAAATATGCAAGTTCAGTGATGCAAACACAGGTATGGTGAAAAGAGAGAGAACTATTCGAAGCAGTAATATACCATCTGACAAAGGCCTGCGCTATAAAGCTTCAATTAACTGCTATTCTTTATAATATACTCAGATCAATTGGAGACAGAGATGTTAAGTTATAAATCAAGGGTTTGTATTATTATTTACAGCAGGGGTGGGGAACATTTTTCCTTTCAATTTTTACAACATCCTGGGCCGTACAAATTATTGAACTCAACCTCTGCTTAAAAAAAACTAAAATCACAGCCCATTCATTTCGCCTTTCTTTCATGCTGTGCAAAGAAAAAGCAACCTCTTAATCCAGATATCTTACCATGACTCGTGCATACACGACTCGTCATCTCACGCCTAGACTACTGCAACTCCCTCCTGGCTGGTCTACCTGCATGTGCCATCCGACCTCTGCAGCTCATCCAGAATGCAGCGGCTCGTCTGGTCTTCAACCTTCCTAAATGTTCCCACACCACTCCGCTCCTCCGCTCCCTTCACTGGCTTCCGGTAACTGCTAGAATCCACTTCAAGACACTGGTACTTGCTTACCATGCTGAGAATGGATCTGGCCCTTCCTACATCCAGGACATGGTTAAACCGTACACCCCAGCGCGTGCACTACGCTCTGCATCAGCCAAACGACTCGTTGCGCCCTCGCTGCGAGGGGGACCCAAGTTCCCATCGGCGAAAACACGTGGGTTTGCTGTCCTGGCTCCAAGATGGTGGAATGAGCTCCCCATTGACATCAGGACGGCAGACAGCTTGCACATCTTCCGGCGCAAACTGAAAACTCATCTCTTTCGACTCCACTTCGAGCGATAGAACTATTAACAAAGCACTTATATACTAATAAAGGGCTGGCTTATCTAAAGCCAGTTGAGTAGCACTTGAAATGTTTGGCTCTATGAAACCTGATGTACTTATATGATTCTGTTTTCTTCAAGGTTGTGTCTTCCTGGTCGAATGTACTTATTGTAAGTCGCTTTGGACAAAAGCGTCAGCTAAATGCAATGTAATGTAATGTAATGTAATACATGCATGCACGTGCACGGTTGTGGCATGACCACCAAAACAGAAATATATGGACGATGAAGATGTGTGCAAATGTATTTAGTATCCTATCCATGTGAACATGATTTAAGTGGGGGGGGACCTAACCTCCTTTAGGGGGGTCCGGGGGCATGCTCCTTCGGGAAGACTTTTTTTTAAATATTGAAGTTAAAAGCATCAATCTGGTGCACTTTGAGAGCAACATGAGGAGATCTATGGATACATCTCTCAACACCCATTTGAAACAGAACTGTAAGCAGATTTTTCTTTTTGGATATTTTACAAATCACTCCCCTTTTAAACTCTATTCTTGTTATTTTTAACAACTTTTTTGTTACTGTCATATAGTATTTTATACCTGTTTTTCATTTAGTCTCTAATGTCTCATTAATAACTATAATGATCATATCAAGGTGTGCCTTAACCTCACTGAGCTGAGGTTATTTGAGCCTCTCAGGAGAGAGCTCTCTTCCACCTGGTTGTAGAAAAGCACTTTAAATTCGTTAGCATAGCTAGCTAACCAGATGCTAATAACAACAGATCGCCACTGTGCTTACAACTAAAGACACAGCCACGCAAACACTGCGGTGTGTACGGCTCCTTATGGGTACTGCAATATTTGAAGAGCTGGAGCGGAGTTCCGGTGCTCTCCGTCAGCACTCTACTAGTCTACACTCCTTTCAGTCGAGACATATACCACGTGAAGACACGTTACGCTCGTGTTGTGTTCAAGGAACCTGTCCTTGGCCAGGAAAAACAGGCACTCGCTTGTTTAATTATTTTGCGATCTAGATTTCTTCTTTTTTATGTGAGAAGTTGTCCGTCAGTCGGACCGACGGATCCCCCCCCCCCCAAAAACGAAAACTCTTCGGTTCTCCACGAATTACACAAGTCACCCAAAACAGCGTTAAAAAAGCGGGAGGCGTCGAAAAGCGACTAATTTGCATCACTGAAGTTGCAACCAGAGTTGGGTGTAACGCTTACAAAGTAACTTTTGTCGGTAACGGAGTAGTGTAACGCAACACTTTTATAATTCAGTAATCACACTACATTACTAACATTGCCCCGACACGCGTTACTTCGTTACTTATTAAAAATCAGTCATAATCACACTGACAGACAAGAGGGGTTTCCGCCGCAGGTTTATACACTGAACAAAAATATAAATGCAACACTGATGTTTTTGCTCCCATTTTTCATGAGATGAACTCAAAGATCTAAAACATTTTCTATAAACACAAAATAACCATTTCTCTCAAATATTGTTCACAAATCTAAAAAGAATCTGTGATAGTGAGCACTTCTCCTTTGCCGAGATAATCCATCTCACCTCACAGGTGTGGCATATCAAGATGCTGATTAGACAATAAAGCAAAACTGCACGTTTCAGAGTGGCCTTTTATTGTGGCCAGCCTAAGGCACACCTGTGCAATAATCATGCTGTCTAATCAGCATCTTGATATGCCACCGGTATAAGCTACCGGTAGCTCGTGATCGACGTGTTGGAGACCCCTGGTGGAAAGGAATGAGTTGTAACCCAGCAAATGACTCCTGAAATAAGCTCAAGAGGAGGTTATCAGTAAAATCATTAAATACCCCACTGGTGAATACGTCATCACTTCACCACTCTATGAAATAACATTATGATTCCTCTCCAAAAAGGTCTGGTTTGAACTGGTATCTCAAACTCTAATGTTTGATAATGCATTGTTCTTTCTCCTCCCAAAAAATACACAGTATGTGACCCTAAAAAGATGGAGTCTCCTGCCCTTTGCCACCATCCTCCTGTCCATCCATCCCACACTAACTGCAGTGGTGAATTCAATGGCTGACTGTCCTGGGTTTCTTCTTGATGAAAAAACACCAAATGTCCCCGACGTCTTGGAGAACGGGACGATCCTGGACCAGAACCGATATAAAGTCATTTGCCAGATCTTCAATAACAAGGATCAGTTTGTGACGCTCTACGACACCAGCAACAAGATACCAGTGTTTTCTGCTTTCAAGTACAGAGGGACAGATGGAAAAAAGAGCAATAGACCACATCGTTGGATGATGGAGCCAGAGGTTTGTTTTTCTTTCTCTGACTTCAACCTTCGACTATTGAATGGCGTTAAACTCCGTCCACCAGTTTTTACACTTCAATAGAGAGACAGCAACCTCATCAGCAACTGACAGGTTGATTAAAAAAAGTGTTTATAGTTTGACAGCAATAGATAATGGGAATATGACGTCATCAACGCAAGCGACCGCAACCCATTGACTCTCCATTATGGCGAGCAAAGTAGCGTCACTTTTTTAATTTAACTTTTTGATAGCTGTGATGCCCCAGAATGCACAGCGGCTACCATTCCCTATGACTGGAATTCACATGATAAAATGTCTGATGTAATCACTTCAGTTTGAGTTATCAAATAACTTCCTGGAAGTTTATTTTAACAGCACAAAATAAATACCACTGACTGAGCCTTCTGACTTTTGCAGCTCGAGCCGACGGCAAACCCCATCAACATGAGGAACGATGCAAACCAATACCAGGCCAGTAACTTTGATTATTGCTCCAGTGAAAATAAGTATAATAGGGGCCATTTATTTCCAATGAGTTATGGATATGATGCAAATGATAAAGACTCCACATTCACTTTGACAAACATTGTTCCACAAGTGAAGACTTTCAATGGTGGCAGCTGGGCAAAAATGGAAGAATGTGTCAAATGCATCCTGAACGAATACTGCATCAACAATAATAATCTCCCCGAAGGCTTTGTAGTTACCGGAGCCAAGCCCAGCAACAACATGCAACTAAACAACAGGGTGAATATACCATCCCTTCTCTGGTCAGCATTCTGCTGTTACAATCACAGAATGGAGAAGTATGTGGCGGCTGCATACTGGGGCGACAATGTTCATGAAGAACTTAATTCCAAAACACTTGAGCAAAAGACTTTGGCCGAACTTCATGAACATCTGGGAATTGAGGTGTTTCCTGGAACACAGTGTCCTCTTCATGAAACTGGCCTACAAGAGGAACAAAGTACAAGAAGTAGAAGAGGTATTTCTGCTTCTTCTTCTCTTTACCAATGTCTTCCCCAAACATCTTCCCCTCCCACTACCACACCTAGCTTTCCCTCTTCCACCTTGAGCACCACTTTATCTACAACTACAGACAAAACAACAACAGTCCCAACAACCACAACAACAACCACCACCACAATGACAAAGAAAAAGGAAAAGGAAAATAAAGATAATCCTGCTTTACGTGCTTTAGGAGGTGCTTTAGTAGGTGCTTTAGTAGGTGCTATAGGAAGTGCTTTAGGTGCTTTAGGAGGTGCTTTAGGTGCTTTAGGAGGTGCTTTAGGAGGTGCTTTAGGAGGTGCTTTAGGAAGTGCTTTAGGTGCTTTAGGAGCTTTAGGAGGTGCTTTAGGAAGTGCTTTAGGTGCTTTAGTAGGTGCTTTAGTAAGTGCTTTAGTAGGTGCTATAGGAAGTGCTTTAGGTGCTTTAGGAGGTGCTTTAGGTGCTTTAGGAAGTGCTTTAGGTGCTTTAGGAGCTTTGGGAGGTGCTTTAGGAAGTGCTTTAGGTGCTTTAGTAGGTGCTTTAGGGGGTGCTTTAGGAGGTGCTTTAGGGGGTGCTTTAGGAAGTGCTTTAGGTGCTTTAGGAGCTTTAGGAGGTGCTTTAGGAAGTGCTTTAGGAGCTTTAGTAGGTACTTTAGGAAGTGCTTTAGGAGCTTTAGTAGGTGCTTTAGGAAGTGCTTTAGGAGCTTTAGGAGGTGCTTTTGGTGCTTTAGTAGGTGCTTTAGGAAGTGCTTTAGGAAGTGCTTTAGGTGCTTTAGGAAGTGCTTTTGATGCTTTAGTAGGTGCTTTAGTAGGTGCTTTAGGAAGTGCTTTAGGAATTGCTTTAGGAAGTGCTTTAGGAAGTGCTTTAGGAAGTGCTTTTGTTGCTTTAGGAAGTGCTCTAGGTGCTTTAGGAAGTGCTTTAGGTGCTTTAGGAAGTGCTTTAGTTGCTTTAGGTGTTTTAGGTGCTTTAGGTGCTTTAGGTGCTTTGGGAGGTGCTATAGGTGCTTTAGGAAGTGCTTTAGGAGCTTTAGTAGGTGCTTTAGGAAGTGCTTTAGGAACTTTAGTAGGTGCTTTAGGAAGTGCTTTAGGAGCTTTAGGACGTGCTTTTGGTGCTTTAGTAGGTGCTTTAGGAAGTGCTTTAGGTGCTTTAGGAAGTGCTTTTGATGCTTTAGTAGGTGCTTTAGTAGGTGCTTTAGGAAGTGCTTTCGGTGCTTTAGGTGCTTTAGGAGGTGCTTTAGGAAGTGCTTTAGGTGCTCTAGGAAGTGCTTTAGGAAGTACTTTAAGTGCTCTAGGAAGTGCTTTAGGAAGTGCTTTATGTGCTCTAGGAAGTGCTTTAGGAAGTGCTTTAGGGGCTTTAGTAAGTGCTCTACGTGCTTTACGTGCTTTAGGAAGTGAGTTACGTGCTTTAGGAAGTGCTTTAGGTGCTTTACGTGCTTTAAGGGGTGCTTTACGAAGTGTTTTACATGCTTTACGAAGTGTTGTACGTGCTTTAGGAAGTGCTTTACGTGCTTTAGGTGATTTACGTGCTTTAGGAAGTGCTTCACGTGCTTTACGTGCTTTAGGTGCTTCAGTACGTGCTTCAGGAAGTGATTTACGTGCTTTAGGAAGTTTTGTATGTGCTGTAGGTGCTATACATGCTTTACGAATTGCTTTACGTGCTTTAGGAAGTGCTTTACATGGTTTAGGAGGTGCTTTAGGAAGTGCTTTAGGAGCTTTAGGTGCTTTATGGGCTTTACGTGCTGTAGGAAGTGCTTTACGTGCTTTAGGAGGTGCTTTCGGAAGTGCTTTAGGTGCTTTAGGAGCTTTACATGCTTTAGGAAGTGCTTTACGTGCTTTAGGAGGTGCTTTCGGAAGTGCTTTAGGTGCTTTAGGAGCTTTATATGCTTTAGAAAGTGCTTTACATGCTTTAGGAAGTGCTTTACATGCTTTAGGAAGTGCTTTACGTGCTTTAGGTGCTTTACGTGCTTTAGGTGCTTTACGTGCTTTAGGTGCTTTACGTGCTTTCGGTGCTTCAGTACGTACTTCAGGAAGTGATTTACGTGCTTTAGCTGCTTTACGTGCTTTCGGTGCTTCAGTACGTACTTCAGGAAGTGATTTACGTGCTTTAGGAAGTTTTGTATGTGCTGTAGGTGCTATACATGCTTTACGAATTGCTTTACGTGCTTTAGGAAGTGCTTTACGTGGTTTAGGAGGTGCTTTAGGAAGTGCTTTACATGGTTTAGGAGGTGCTTTCGGAAGTGCTTTAGGTGCTTTAGGAGCTTTACATGCTTTAGAAAGTGCTTTACATGCTTTAGGAAGTGCTTTAGGTGCTTTACGTGCTTTCGGTGCTTCAATACGTACTTCAGGAAGTGATTTACGTGCTTTAGGAAGTTTTGTATGTGCTGTAGGTGCTATACATGCTTTACGAATTGCTTTACATGCTTTAGGAAGTGCTTTACGTGCTTTAGGTGCTTTACGTGCTTTAGGTGCTTTACGTGCTTTCGGTGCTTCAGTACGTACTTCAGGAAGTGATTTACGTGGTTTAGGAGGTGCTTTAGGAAGTGCTTTAGGTGCTTTAGGAGCTTTAGGTGCTTTATGGGCTTTACATGCTTTAGGAAGTGCTTTACGTGCTTTAGGAAGTGCTTTACGTGCTTTAGGAGGTGCTTTCGGAAGTGCTTTAGGTGCTTTAGGAGCTTTACATGCTTTAGAAAGTGCTTTACATGCTTTAGGAAGTGCTTTACGTGCTTTAGGAAGTGCTTTACGTGCTTTACGTGCTTTAGGAAGTGCTTTCGGAAGTGCTTTAGGAAGTGCTTTCGGAAGTGCTTTAGGTGCTTTCGGAGCTTTATATGCTTTAGAAAGTGCTTTACATGCTTTAGGAAGTGCTTTACATGCTTTAGGAAGTGCTTTATGTGCTTTAGGTGCTTTACGTGCTTTAGGTGCTTTACGTGCTTTCGGTGCTTCAGTACGTACTTCAGGAAGTGATTTACGTGCTTTAGCTGCTTTACGTGCTTTCGGTGCTTCAGTACGTACTTCAGGAAGTGATTTACGTGGTTTAGGAGGTGCTTTAGGAAGTGCTTTAGGTGCTTTAGGAGCTTTAGGTGCTTTATGGGCTTTACATGCTTTAGGAAGTGCTTTACGTGCTTTAGGAAGTGCTTTACGTGCTTTAGGAGGTGCTTTCGGAAGTGCTTTAGGTGCTTTAGGAGCTTTACATGCTTTAGAAAGTGCTTTACATGCTTTAGGAAGTGCTTTACGTGCTTTAGGAAGTGCTTTACGTGCTTTACGTGCTTTAGGAAGTGCTTTCGGAAGTGCTTTAGGAAGTGCTTTCGGAAGTGCTTTAGGTGCTTTCGGAGCTTTATATGCTTTAGAAAGTGCTTTACATGCTTTAGGAAGTGCTTTACATGCTTTAGGAAGTGCTTTATGTGCTTTAGGTGCTTTACGTGCTTTAGGTGCTTTACGTGCTTTCGGTGCTTCAGTACGTACTTCAGGAAGTGATTTACGTGCTTTAGGAAGTTTTGTATGTGCTGTAGGTGCTATACATGCTTTACGAATTGCTTTACGTGCTTTAGGAAGTGCTTTACGTGGTTTAGGAGGTGCTTTAGGAAGTGCTTTACATGGTTTAGGAAGTGCTTTAGGTGCTTTAGGAGCTTTAGGTGCTTTATGGGCTTTACATGCTTTAGGAAGTGCTTTACATGCTTTAGGAAGTGCTTTACGTGCTTTAGGAAGTGCTTTACGTGCTTTAGGAAGTGCTTTACGTGCTTTATGAGGTGCTTTCGGAAGTGCTTTAGGTGCTTTAGGAGCTTTACATGCTTTAGGAAGTGCTTTATGTGCTTTAGGAAGTGCTTTACGTGCTTTAGGTGCTTTACATGCTTTAGGAAGTGCTCTACGTGGTTTGGGAGGTGCTTTAAGAGGTGCTTTAAAAGGTGCTTTAAGAGGTGCTTTAGGAGGTTTTTTAGCTGCTTTCGGTTCATTAGTTGCCTTAGCTGCTTTACTAGATGCTTGAGGAGGTGCTTTATGGTTCTTTAGTAGGAGGAGGTGGAGGTGTGTGTGTGTGTGTTTGTGTGTGTGCAGCTGCAGCAGTATCACACACAGGACTCAGCCGTCACTCTTTCACTACCATCTTGAGAATATATCAACAGTTTGTCTGCAGGAGGAGACTGTCTCTGAGGTAAGTCGACATTCTGTTATTTATATTAATATATATGTTATTTTATTTATTTCTATAAAAAGGTCGGAAAAACGAGGTACAAGCAAAGTTTTACAGTGAAAAATGTTATCTCAACACTTCAACTTGATGGTAGGTTTCTAATTAATTCCCTGTGAATTGTACGTGATAGTTAACATTTAAACCTCATCTTTAACATTTCTACTCAATTTATTCTCAAAATGTCAACAGTATTCCCCACAATTGACATTTATTCTTGACTTTTAATCAAACGTCTCTTTTATTCAATATTTCTACGTTATTCCCCTACATTTTACATTTTAAATTCAACTTCATTATTGACGTTTTTACTTTATTCAAATACAAACAAACAGCTGCATTTTTTAAATGATTAAAATAATCAAAAATACATTTGGGATTCAAGAGTCTGATGTTCAGGTGTATATCAGTATGTAGTGTCTCTACTTCAAAGAGTCCTCTCCTGCTGATTTTCAGGTGTATATCAGTATGTAGTGTCTCTACTTTAAAGAGTCCTCTCCTGCTGATGTGCAGGTGTATATCAGTATGTAGTGTCTCTACTTTAAAGAGTCCTCTCCTGCTGATGTTCAGGTGTATATCAGTATGTAGTGTCTCTACTTCAAAGAGTCCTCTCCTGCTGATTTTCAGGTGTATATCAGTATGTAGTGTCTCTACTTTAAAGAGTCCTTTCCTGCTGATGTTCAGGTGTATATCAGTATGTAGTGTCTCTACTTTAAAGAGTCCCCTCCTGCTGATGTTCAGGTGTATATCAGTATGTAGTGTCTCTACTTTAAAGAGTCCTCTCCTGCTGATGTTCAGGTGTATATCAGTATGTAGTGTCTCTACTTTAAAGAGTCCTCTCCTGCTGATGTTCAGGTGTATATCAGTATGTAGTGTCTCTACTTTAAAGAGTCCTCTCCTGCTGATGTTCAGGTGTATATCAGTATGTAGTGTCTCTACTTTAAAGAGTCCTCTCCTGCTGATGTTCAGGTGTATATCAGTATGTAGTGTCTCTACTTTAAAGAGTCCTCTCCTGCTGATGTTCAGGTGTATATCAGTATGTAGTGTCTCTACTGGGACATGTCTCCATGCTTTAATGTTCAAAAAGCTCTTTATTTGTGTCATACTGCCTGTGCTGCAGCACCTCTTTTCTCCCTCTGTCTGAAACCAGAGCCCAGTCTGCTCTGATTGGTTAGCTGGCTAGCTCTGTTGTGATTGGTCAACCATTTTAGAGATGTCCCGCCCCTTAGCCAATCGCGTACAAGGTGTTAGAGCGCTGGCCAATAGGAGCGCAGGAGTTAAGTAGTGATGTCACTATGATACACCGTTAAAGGCAGGGAAAATAAAACATGACATACTTTAAACAAGTCAGGGTTTGGTTTTCTGTGTTATATTTCATAATTTCGGAGGGTATTCAAAGTGGAAATGTGTGTTTTTTTCCGCCGCAGGAAGCTGATCTCACGTAAAGCTCAAGAGTCAGAAGGACATAAAGTGTGTATGTACCGATAAATATTTAATAACACGGACAAACTGTTCTGGACGGAGGATTTATCAGTGTGTGTGTGTGTGTGTGTGTGTGTGTGTGTGTGTGTTGTGTGTGTGTGTGTGTGTGTGTGTGTGTGTGTGTGTGTGTGTGTGTGTGTGTATGTAAATGATTAAGAAGTTATTGAAGAAATTGATGCATTATTGATAATATTATGAAAGACAGCTGATTGGATTATTCATGAGACCAGATAATAAAGCTGCCCGAGTTCCACACAAACACACACACACACACACACATTTGACGAACTAATAACTTTTTCCTAACCTCTCCCCCTCCAGATGTCGTGGCGCTCGTCTTTCCGATGCTCAAAGTTTCGTCAAGTTTCGGGAAGCCGTCCAATAAGGAGCACAGCTACGACGGGGTGCCAATCACACGCGGTGTCCATGACAACCACTACTGCTCAGCCAATCCCTGCTTCATCGCCGTGGTGAAGGAGTGCGAAGGGGGCGGGGCCTTCCTGGTGCTGCCTCTCCACCACGTGAGAATTCTGTTGAAAAGATAAAATATTAGACTAAAAAAAGTACAAATATTGGT